GATATCACACAGGGGCTTGTTAGTTCCTTTGTGATAGCAATAAAGTTAAGTGGAAAAAAATTAATAAAAAAAAGAAATAATAATAAAAAAAATAGATGATTAAAAAGTAAAAAAAAAATAGGAAAAAAATTATAAAAAGTAAAAAATAATATAAATAAGCAAAAGGGTAAGATGAATACAAATTTAAAAAAATACAAATTTAAAAAAGTGATTAAAAAAAAAACACCAGCGCAGTCCCTTCCGGTCCAGACAAAAAAATACTGCTTGTCTCATTTTCTCTGGTCTCGAATGCACTGGTATGCATGGAAACTCATACAAACACATGCAAACACACTCGAATGCACCTGAAAACCCATTTTAGGCTTAAAAAAAAGCGATAAAAATGCAATGTACTGCGTTGCAGATCTGCTCCAGATCTGTTCCGGACATGGTGTAAACAAGCCCAAAGAAGGAAAATTCCTGGACATTTGCATTCAAAGCTATCGGGTAACAAGCCATCTTCCACTACTGCCTGCCCCCCAAACAAAGTCCCCACCTGGATTTTGCTAAGCAAATAAGTGAGACTTCCATTGGATAATTTACTAGGTTTAGCATGATTATGTCCCCAAAAATTAAAATCGGCTGCCTGGAATATACTGAATGAGCAGGTTTTTCCATCAATGGATTTTTTCTTCCCTGATGGCACATTGGCCTTTTTCCAAGATGACAATGCCAGGATTCATCAGGCTTATATTGGGAACGTGCGGTTCAGGGAGCATGAGACATGATTTTCACACATGGATTGGCCACCACAGAGTCCAGACCTTAACCCCATTGAGAATCTTTGGGATGTGCTGGAGAAGACTTGACGCAGTGGTCCAACTCTCCCATCATCACTACAAGATTTTGGTGAAAAATGAATCAAACTCTGGATGGAAATAAATGTTGTGATGTTGCATAAGCTGATTGAAACTATGCCATGGCGAATGCCTGCCATAATCAAAGCTAAAGGCGTTCCGACGAAATATTGGAGTGTATGACCTTTTTTTTTTTGGCCAAGCAGTGTATGTTCTCAGCAGGATGGCAACAAACAAGGAATGTCCTCCAAATGTATCTCTTTATTTCATACTGTAAAAGCATAAAAGCAGCACCCACTTACCATCCTGCTGTAAACTGATGGGCATCCTTGGAGGGTGGATTGTGACTTTACAACATGATGGTTATGTGCAGGGTATAATGGAATGTTAGAGCCGTGTACTCCAGGAATGAGTTTAGTCATTCTGTATGTAAAACTGCTTAAAACCTGACTTTTTTGTCCTTGAATTCATTATACTAAACTTGAGTACCTCTAGTCTCCCAGTGCTTCAGAAAAGTATTTAAAGAGCTGATTACAGCTACTGATTCATTCATGGACATTCAGAGCACTTTAAGTGATACTTCATTTACATATACGTTCAGGGCCGGCCTTAGGGGTGTGCGAGCAGTGCGGCCGCACAGGGCGCCATGGCAACAAGGGCGCCGTGCGGCCGACACAGCTCGTCCTGGGGGCGGCTTCTCTCCCCCTCACCGCTGGGCGCTGGCCATCCGATATGACAGCGCTCCCTCGTCCGCCCCCCCCCCGGGGGGGGGGCGGACGAGGGAGCGCTGTCATATCGGATGGCCAGCGCCCAGCGGTGAGGGGGAGAGAAGCCGCGCCCGCAGCTGTCAGGATGGCTGAGCAGGTAGGAGATCGGAGCCGCTGTCATCCTGTCAGTTTCAGGATGACAGCGGCTCCGATCTCCTACCTGCTCAGCCATCCTGACAGCTGCGGGCGCGGCTTCTCTCCCCCTCACCGCTGGGCGCTGGCCATCCGATATGACAGCGCTCCCTCGTCCGCCCCCCCCCCGGGGGGGGGGCGGACGAGGGAGCGCTGTCATATCGGATGGCCAGCGCCCAGCGGTGAGGGGGAGAGAAGCCGCGCCCGCAGCTGTCAGGATGGCTGAGCAGGTAGGAGATCGGAGCCGCTGTCATCCTGTCAGTTTCAGGATGACAGCGGCTCCGATCTCCTACCTGCTCAGCCATCCTGACAGCTGCGGGCGCGGCTTCTCTCCCCCTCACCGCTGGGCGCTGGCCATCCGATATGACAGCGCTCCCTCGTCCGCCCCCCCCCCGGGGGGGGGGCGGACGAGGGAGCGCTGTCATATCGGATGGCCAGCGCCCAGCGGTGAGGGGGAGAGAAGCCGCGCCCGCAGCTGTCAGGATGGCTGAGCAGGTAGGAGATCGGAGCCGCTGTCATCCTGTCAGTTTCAGGATGACAGCGGCTCCGATCTCCTACCTGCTCAGCCATCCTGACAGCTGCGGGCGCGGCTTCTCTCCCCCTCACCGCTGGGCGCTGGCCATCCGATATGACAGCGCTCCCTCGTCCGCCCCCCCCCCGGGGGGGGGGCGGACGAGGGAGCGCTGTCATATCGGATGGCCAGCGCCCAGCGGTGAGGGGGAGAGAAGCCGCGCCCGCAGCTGTCAGGATGGCTGAGCAGGTAGGAGATCGGAGCCGCTGTCATCCTGTCAGTTTCAGGATGACAGCGGCTCCGATCTCCTACCTGCTCAGCCATCCTGACAGCTGCGGGCGCGGCTTCTCTCCCCCTCACCGCTGGGCGCTGGCCATCCGATATGACAGCGCTCCCTCGTCCGCCCCCCCCCCGGGGGGGGGGCGGACGAGGGAGCGCTGTCATATCGGATGGCCAGCGCCCAGCGGTGAGGGGGAGAGAAGCCGCGCCCGCAGCTGTCAGGATGGCTGAGCAGGTAGGAGATCGGAGCCGCTGTCATCCTGTCAGTTTCAGGATGACAGCGGCTCCGATCTCCTACCTGCTCAGCCATCCTGACAGCTGCGGGCGCGGCTTCTCTCCCCCTCACCGCTGGGCGCTGGCCATCCGATATGACAGCGCTCCCTCGTCCGCCCCCCCCCCGGGGGGGGGGCGGACGAGGGAGCGCTGTCATATCGGATGGCCAGCGCCCAGCGGTGAGGGGGAGAGAAGCCGCCCCCAGGACGAGCTGTGTCGGCCGCACGGCGCCCTTGTTGCCATGGCGCCCTGTGCGGCCGCACTGCTCGCACACCCCTAAGGCCGGCCCTGTATACGTTGTTTGCGTGTGGCCCTTCATCTCCTGTGGTATCTCTGTTACAAGGGAGTGAGCAGCACCTAAATGGAACAGCTAATCCCCCATAGGGCTTCTATTTCTAGTCGATGAGATAGCTCACCCTCCTTGTCTCCTGGTAACTCTTTCATACAGAGTACCAATTTTTAAACCGGAAAGGACACTTGTAATAGTTTATATGCAGAAATACTAATATGTCACTTCCACTTTTTCTTTCATATATGTCAGTAGCAATCCATACCCTGGAGAAAGCATTTTGGTTTGTTTGGTCTTTGCAGTTACGCAGTGCTACAAATGGATATGGTGAATCATTAAACTGGTGTGTCAGTAGGATTTGTGAGTACATGGTTTTTTTGTGTGCATGAGGGAGTAGTGGAATCCAGTTTCCAAGGATTTAACTGTTGTGCAGGTGTTCTGCTGCAGAAGGCACATGGACACAGACCCAAGGCTTAAACACGTTGTCATCCATATTCATTAATCAGATGTTTTCCGTATTTTTAACTATAGAGGTTTGAATTTGATGATGGTTATAATATAGGAAAATGGTTTGAATCAGATATTTTGCTGGCTTTAACTTGATTTTTAAAAGCTTTCTTTTCTTGATCCTATTACATAAAGAGAGCAAAATACAGTCAGGGCACATATTGATATGTCTCCTGTTCTGTTAAATAGGTGAAATTATTCTTGACCTAAGTATACCTATCTGGATATTGTCTCGGTTACAGCAAGAGAACTGCCTTTTTTTATGATTGTTGGGGCCTTTTGCTAACCCTTCTCTTACCATCATTAGAGAAGCATAAGAGTGCTATTTGTTTTATTTACAATGGAATAGGGAATGGTTAGAACCTCTGTCAGGTTTTTTTTATATAGTATCTATCTCCTATTAGGAGGATTTCCATTTACTTCCTGTCCTGTAGACACAACAGGAAGTGAGACAAGATTTCTTCAAAGTGAAGGAAATTCACTCTTAGACAGTTGTCACTGGAACAGGTAAAGATTGTAAGATTTCCGTTTATTTCTGTTCTAGTGACAACATTAAACTTCTCGATTTTCTGTTACTTTCTGTCCAGGGAACAATGATTATTAGGACTAATAGAGAGGGGTAATATCCCCTCTGGAAACAAAAACCGTAATAAAAATCTGACCGAGGTTCTAACCTTTCCCCACTCTGTTCAAAAAATGTTTTGTATTTCAGATAATATTTTAAATCTAACATTATGTGAATCGCCTAGCATTCATATTCACCCTTTTTGTGTTATTGCTTTGAGCCACTGACCTTGAAAAAGTATGCAGGTTGGTTATCTTGACTTTACTCTGACCCTCCTGGTCTGCATACTTGATGTTGGTCAGCAACTCACTTTCTTGTTATCCCTGCACTGGCTTCCAATAGCCCAGAGGATAAAATTCAAAACATTATCAGTCACTTACAACTCTGCCCCGTATATAGCTCAGACCTTGTCTCAAAATATCACCCTAACCATCCACTCTGCTCTTCCCTAGACCTCCTGCTTTCCAGCTCCCTTGTCCACTCCTCCCATACTTGCCTCCAGGACTATCTCCAACTTGACTGCCTTTAGGCATTCCCTAAAGACTCATCTCTTCAGGGAAACCTATCACACCTCAACCTAACCACTGAACCATCACATTCTCAAATAATTAATCCCCGCACAGCTCCCTCCTCATGTATAATTTCCCCCTCCTCTTTTAGATTGTAAGCCCTCAGGGGCAGGGCCCTCCTTACCATCTTGTCTTGAATTGTATTGTGATTGTAACTTGTTCCTTATATTGTAAAGCGCTGCACAAACTGTTGGCGCTATATAAATACTATGTAGTAATAATAATAACTCAGTGTACCAAAGTCATTTGGTCAGTGTAACAGACAGTTGCAGTATCGGCACCTTCTGAAGGATGTCAACAATGGTACTCTGCATCTCATGTGGCTTTTCTATGCTTTCCTTGGGCTTACCCAGATAATGGGTGGAGAACATTGCCATCAGTGTATTGGATGGGCAACCTTTGCAATGTATCAGTAGATAAACAAAGTCACGGTTTTAATAGTGCTTATTTGTGGACTTCAAAACCGGCAAGTGACTCTTCCAGCTTCTGGTGATAGATGAAGGGTTAAACTACTTCTTTTCTTTGCAACATATATTTATCACATTTCATTGTTTACTATTCTTATGTGTGTTCTTTTGTTTAAGAAGCAAATCTAATACCCCAGAGATGACAAACAGAGTGCATGTACAGGATTAATGAAGGCTGTGGATGGATTGTGGCTTGGACCTCTGCCTCTTGTCAGCAGAGAAATGCAATAATCTTCCTAAAAATGCACCACTTGTTGTATCTTGTTCCTTCCTGAAAATATCTAGGTAGTCATATGCTACCACCCCAAACCTGAGCCAGAACATTGTTCTGAACCCTGGCCATGTGTTCTCCTCTGGTTACACAATTTATTGGTAATCAGTAAAGCCTCATTTATGGCACAGGTCATCATGTATATTTGATAATTCAGGTTTTGGATTAATCTGCCAAAAGAAATATTAAAAATACTGGAAGCCCAGATGTAAGTGAACTTGGCTGGAAAGCATCCTGCTGTGTCTGTTGAGTCCAAGATGGAAGCTTGTATCTGATTACCTGTGTCGGATCCATCTACACTCATTCATTAGGTTTAAGTGCAAAGTTGGGAAAGTATGCACGTGTAGCCCCCATCACCTTCACTGGAGTGGCTACAAAAACTTAGTGTTGCTAGCACTGTAATCAATCTAGCTGATTTGTAGTTTGACGACATCTCGTTAATCCCAGGTGTTCTGCTATTGTTTGCACCTACCTGAGTGGCGTACCAATAGGAGAACATCAGGAATGTCAATGCCTCACCAGCCAATCACTGGGAGTTTAATGGCCAGTGGTGCATGCTAGGAGTGCATAAATACTCCGGGATTGCCATGTGCTCAGTCTTCAGTTGCCCCCTGGCTTAGGCTGGGGGTGGGATGCACAAAGATGGAGAAGCTGACTGGGCCTCAAGCCTGAAGGAGGCCACATGTGGACCCAGGTGGGGTCTGTAACTGTATGGGAGGAGAACCAGAGAAGCCCTATGACTGTTGGAGGTACCAGGAGCTGATATGGACCCAGGAACAAGTCTGGTGTCTCTCCCAGGGAAGATCTCATGCACATCCCTATTCAGCTGCTGCTCTAGTGCCCAGTGTCAGCCTGTTCTACTAAGAATTCTGCATTGTGGAAGCCTGAAGGGATTGGATAATCTGGAGATTGTGTCTGTTTTTGCCATGTATGTCTGAGGCCCTATACCCTCTCTCCCAGTTATGCTGTTCTTCAATAAAGCATTCTGAAAAGGCACTTAAAGTGACTGGCGCCCAATTTGTCGATCACATGATCCTTCGCTGACTAAGGATCTGCCGCTGAGAGTGAAATGTTGGCCCCTCCTGCCCTTGGTGGTCTACCTCAAGCCTCTGGGGGTCAGGGGGGTGCTACACATGCATTCCTGGTAATGGACAAAATAGAGATGTTACCATTTCTGGCTTCTGGGAAGGTGCAGGCCCAGTGCGATCTGGAAATGTCAGCTTTGATAAATAACAGCCCTTTTAGTTTTAAAATGTCTCTTCTCCTTTTTCTCTGCTAATGGCATGAACTATGACACTAAATTTTGACCATTTAGAGCCAAATTTAGAACCAAATTGGACTGTTTACAGCTTGCTGGACTGTTCCCAGCCATTTGTATCTTGGTACTTGGAGATACTGTGCATACAGTACATGTTCCTTTACCAGTAAATTGCTTCACTGTACATTTATAAATGCTGAACACGGAACACCTCAGCACGACAGCATGATGTAGTATGTCATACAATTTATTGGGGTTAAAAAACAAATGAAATATATTTAAAAGAATATAAAATTTTTTGCTGTTCAGTCAAAAGTATTCATGCTCCTCCCAAGTAATACCCATATAGGACGGACTGCAAACCCAGTCTTTCAATAGTATCAGTGGTTGATTGGCCAAGTCTTTGCCATATCAACCTTTCTAAATAACCGCATACTGCGGTCTGTGGCTAATAATTTTGGAGGTACATATGCTCTTTATCGCAGCCTGATTGGCTCTGTAATAATATCCCAATGGCATCCTTCCATGACCATGAGCTGTGGAAGGCTGCAATTGGTGTGAAGACTGCAAGCTGTGAAGCTTCCTAGCAGTGTCAAATCGGAGTAGAACAATCATTTTCACAGTGAAAACCAAGTACAGATCTAAAGATGTCTTGTAAATATACGTGTCTAAATAAGCACACTCATTTTCCCATTTTTTGGCAATGTTTAAAAAAAAAGTTTTTTGGGCATTTCAGGTGCCTGTAACTCAACTCCTATATGACTCTGCCAGTTTCCTAGAAGCCATGTTAAGTTGTATTCTTCTAAAACCTCTGCAATTCATTGTTCCCAACTTCAAAATGATTGTGTGTATGCTACTTTATTTTTTCTCCTTGTAAACTAGATTGATTTTTCAATTTCAGAAACAAGACATTCATCAGTAGATGTCCTGAAGAGGCTGAAATACCCACCTACTATGCTTGCTGCAACCAGGCTGTCTGCCATGCTAAATGGCAATGATGAAGTGTATGCCAACTCAATGGTGGTGGATGAAGTAAGATTTGGATATATTGGCTTATTTTCTGATGTGTGATTTAAAGATGAACTCTTAACAGTGTGTCTAAATCTTTACAGCCAATTTAAACTGTAAAGTTAGGTTCTTTCATTGCGATATTCAGCATCCTTAGTGCCCTAGTTTATGTGACTTGTCTCTAGGTCACTTGGGTCACTTGACTCATAGGAGCTGTGGATTGTGGGAGCCAACACATGCAGAAAATATATATTTATTTTCACTGAAGATTTCACTGATCTCAGCACCTAAACATAAAGAGCAAAACGTGCAGCACTATGGGATGGGATTTTTACAACTAGGCATTTTGTAATAACGTTGCCCATAGTCTACCTCCATCTAGTAAAGTAGTCCTAACGTTACTCTTTCAGACATCCCAACCTGCAAAACCTTATTTCAGGGAGGTTCCCGTCTCATTTCAGGGAGGTGTAATTGATGTTAAAGTATCTGTCAGTGTAAAGGTCACAATTTATTAGACAGCCCAAGACCTTTTTAAAAAAACGCTGAGGAGTAAAGTCCCTGATACACAGTAGACTAGTTGCTATGGGCAGCAAATGAAATAAATGTTCTCTATAACTAGACAACCAGGGCATATAATTGATCATATATTATCCACAAAGGGTTAACAGCACTCTCTCAACCCTACAGCAGTAGATCTCAGTGCCTGTACCTGCTCTCAATAGTAGTCTATGTCCGCCCTCTCTGCCAAGCCTCGTTCTGAGGCTACTCTAGAGATCACATGACCTTCCTCCAGGAGGCAAGCCTCGTTCTGAGGCTACTCTAGAGATCAAATGACCTTCCTCCAGGAGGCAAGCCTCACTCTGAAACTTTACCCACTGATATTTTACCGGAAAGGTTTACTCAGAGTAAACCTTTCAGGGAGAAAATGCCTCTCTCGCAGACATCAGGGAGCTGCTGTCCAAAAGAGGGAGACTCCCTGAACATCAGGGAGACTTGAGATCCCTGCTCTTTGCTTTAAATCTAACATTTTGTTTCAGTGTAGGGAAGTGGGAGGAATGATTTATATGCAAAGTATCTGATTGACACCTTTCTGTTTTTGTTGCCTGTACTCCTTCCTATGATCAGTGATATCTGTAACATACTGGGTAAAGATAAGTGAATTTTGACGATTTCGTTCTGCCATCAGTTTGGTGAAGTGCACGGCAGTCTTCGTTTTTACTGAGCAGCATATAGTAAGCTAGAAAAGAGTTACATTTGTCTACTTATTTTTTCACAAGCGATGTTAAAACAAATTCAATAACCATATATCTTCGTATCAATTGGGTTTATTATTATATCTAAATGAAATAAGTATCATGCATGTTAATAACTACCTTATATAATGGTTATGATGCAGTGGTAGGCAGAACTGAGGGAATTTGTGTCTGCAAATACTGTTTTTAATGTTGCTTATGTATTTTAAATACATTTGTCAATAAATGTACTATTTTTGACTGAAATTAGAGTCTGACGCCTCATAAAACCCCAAAGATACCAAGGTATAGGGTTATTGAATGAGGAATAGGGGTGAGGTCTCGGACCACCTGGAAGAATTTGCCCTGTGGAGTTATGGTATAAAGCAATGTTAAAACAAATGCATACATGTTGATGGAGCATAAATGTTGAAATCCCCACACCTCACCACTTATACACCTAATAAGGAAGAATACCAAGTCCTTATTAAAGTGCAATCGATGTCTGTGTTCCCCTTAAGGAGATTTACCTGATCTATTTGTCCAGGTGACCATTATCACTGAAAGTGAAAGAAAATCTCACATTTTGAGTTGTCATTATAACAGTGATGGATAGATCTTCCAATGAGGACACAGTTTTGGCAACCCTGCTTACAGACCCGGCGCTACCGCTAGGCAAACTAGGCAGGCGCCTAGGGCACACTGTTGCCTAGGGGGCAGCCTCGACCGGCAGCTTCCTTGCCTCTACCCTGCTGTACACACATTAGCTTAGCATGTTCCGTTGAATCCAGCTTGTCACTGCTCCCTTCCACGCGCTTGTCAGCTGGGTGACAGCGGGGAGGGGGGGGGGGGCACCTTCAATCAGCCTGGTACTGGGAGTGGATTGGCTGAGCACGTCCCTGGCCCCAATCCCTTCACACAGAGCAGAGTAATGCGGTGAGCAGGCAGTGTGCGCTGCCTTTTCCGGGATCACTGGCCTGCTCCTCCCCCACCCCTGGTTGGAATCTGCTCATGGTAAGAAACCTGTTGATCTCTAGCTGCAGACATCTCAACTTCCTGCTCTGTTTTTTTTTTTCTTCCTTGATATCGGGGCCGCTGGCCGCCGTCAGTCAGAAAAAAGACCCGGCATAGGAACGATTTGCTAGATTGCTATTGCAAATTGTAATAGCCAATAGCAAACTAGCTATTGCACCCGCCCACTGCTGCTGTCAATCAGCAGAGGTGGACCTGAAGTTCTCCATCAGGTCCTCCTTTACTGACTGACAGCAGTAGAGGGTGGGCGCAATAGCCAGCTTGCTATTGCAAATTGAAATAGTCAATAGCAAGCTGGCTATTCATTCCTATGCTGGGTTTTTTTATTTTTATTCTGACGGCAGCAGCTGTCAGAATACTAAAAAAAACAGCAGATAGCAAGGGAAGCATTGGCTTCTTTGCTATCTGCCATCATTTCAGGGGGGTGATCTTTTCCTTGTTGTGGCACCCACCCCCCCACAGTGCAGGGGGAGGGGGGTTCAGAGGGCACATCCCTCAAATGAGAAGGACACTTCCCTGAAATGACTTATTTCAGGTTGGGATCCCTGTAGCTGTGACAAGTCCTGTGTAAGTTACGGCTCCCAGCTGTGACCAGGGACAAGGGTAATTTCCGCAGGGACAGGCAGGGTGGGCATGCTCCTGCCCCTAGGGGTGTCTCAGCCTTAGATGGGGGTCACTGCTCCACCCACTGTGGGGGTTCTGCCTCACTTCACAGAGTTACTAGATCACTTTTAGGAAGTGATTATTTGCTGTGCACAGGCTGGTAATGCTATAGGGTTATTCTTACATAACTGCTCCATAACTGCTCCATAACTGCTCCCTGCTGCTGCTTTTCAGTACTGGGTCTGCAAAGGTTGTCCCTGGTGTTCTTGTGGGTCATGGATGTCCATGATGGCTTCAACTCATTGGAATTAATATGTGTTGAGAAGTAATATGTTCATTTTAGTTGTGGTCCTGAGTGTGTAGAGCTGAAGGTTTAGCAGCAAAGTGTCCTTGGATGTGAAAGAAAAATGGTGGCGACTATGTGTAGCTCTGTACAGCAGCCTTGAAGGGTTACGGGAAGAACTCAGCTATTGGTTGGGAGAATGGCTGACTTAAAGTGGACTTTTCATTACCTATGCAACTCTGTGTGAATTAATACCTGATTTATTACAATGTGCAGCAACAAGATCATTTAAAAAAAGTTTCCTTGACCTCCACTCAGTGTTTTTATACCATGACACCCAAACTGGGTACCAGTATTATAGGAACACGGTGCCATAGAAGCAAATATATTGTAAGTGAACCTATCAGTAGCTGTACAAGTCTGTATAGATAACATTCCAAACATGTCCAAATATATGAAAACAGTATAATTTTTTCTAACAAGCACTTTTTATTCTTAAAAAGCCATCTTTGAGCCCCAATCTAGTGACTTTACCTAGGCTGATATGTTATCGATTATTATTCCTGCCCCCTCTTCTTCTGCTCCATGTCAGCCTGCCTCCTCCCCCTTGCTCCATGTCAGACTTTTGCCACTTTGCCAGCTGAAGCACCCCCCACCACCAGCACCACCACAGGTGTCTTGGTAGCAGGACTAGCCTGGCATTGCTGGGAGAGGGACTGATGGTGCCAGCTTTAGCTTAATCTGCCATCTCAGCCAATGTATTCCACATGCCTGGACCAGTTTGCTATACTCAGGGGCTTGTGGCGAGTAACTCTTAAGGCCTGGCTAGTAGCTCAGGACTTGAAATTTTGAGCCCTGTTCTAGATTATCAGAGTATTTGCACAAAACAATGTAGTAGCAGACACTTAGGTTGACTAGTTGTTTCATGTGTCAGGGTTATTTGATAACTTTATATAATTATTTGTGGGTTCTTTAGATTATAGCTCTGTTTTGTGCAAGGTCAGATCAGCTATCCTGTTCCCTATGTGATATTAAAAGAGAACATTTCCTATTTCCAGTCGGAAACACTGCAGACTTTGTGCACCTGTTCAGTTCTACACCCTCAATCAGCATATTCTAACTGCATCGGTGCATTAATTGGTTACATCTACTACAAATAATGGGGCAAAGCAGTCTTTGTTTTCTTTTTTGTTTCAAATATTATTGCCAAGCGGGGTTTAGAAGTAATTGCAGCTATTGCTGCAGTACTAACCTTCTCCCTGGCACTGCCACCCACAGACTCAATCTGGTCTTTCAATGGGTTGACTCACGTCCAGTGTCATTCAACTCACTTCCTCTGAACCCAGAGAATCAAGGACCTGCCCCCTGGGGGCACGTCATCAGACTGCCCTTGACTTGCAGACAAATGCTACAAAGAGTGGTGACATGTCATTTCATGGTGTTGCTCTCTGCAGCATTCAGGACCTGCTCACCATCAGAGGACCTATAAAATCCTGTGGTGGCCAGATCGAAAACTGTTTGGGGGGGGGGGTAAGGTACAGTTGGGCTTCAAATTAAATTGACTTTGTCAGTTAAAGAAAAGGTCCCTGCACATACCTGCAGCATCTCATACTTTCTATAATGTTGTAGCCTGCCTACTCCCTCCCGCCCCCTGTAATTGCATTGGTCAGTGAGGCTATCCATCCTGGTAATGCGGTGCCTGGAGGGAGCATGGTCACTTGGAAATGCTAAAGTGTTGCCATTACAGAACAAATTACATTTGACTTAAGTGAAAGGAAATAAAAGATGGGGTAGACAAATGCAGACACCCATAGGTCAGTGGTTCTCAAACCAGGACCTTGTAAATTCTTCCAAAACATTCCATACCCCCCCACCCCCCCCAAAAAAAAGTACACCTC